CCCAGGTTTTCTTTGAACCCCCAAAAACACTTTCAACGAAAAAGCCGGTGTTCTACAAAAACTCTAAGGATGAAGTTCTGGAAGACATCGAGCAAAGAAAACGATGTGTTTCTTTGACCAGAACCCGCCTACCCGTGGAGGACGAACCTGAAAAATCATTAACGGACAGACCGAAAAGTGAAAGCATACAGTTTTCAGTGTCAATACAACAACTTAAAGATGACACTAAATCGAACCCACCCACCCCACCGTGGATGCAAAAACCGATGAAAGTTAAGAATGCACGCTCGATGAGCCCAAGACGGCGATTCGTCTCCTTAAATAAGAAAATAGAAACAAAATCTGGAACACCAATTTCTAAATGTGAAGCAGTGGACATTATGGATGCGACAGAATGCTTGCAAAACCGTTTCAAACCTCCGCCTTCTTCCCACATCGAAAGTTACGGGGAACAAATGGGCAATGTTAGTCCTGAAAATGATCCCAGTATATTTCGAGCTCGATCTCTACCATCGCTTTTTCCAGTGAAGAAAAAGAAGGAAGTGAAAGCTTCTGATAAAAATGGCAACAGTGGTGACAAAGACAAAGCAAAACTCATTGCTCCATTCAAAAGACCTTCTGCAACAGCATATGGATGTCTCCCTAATATGGTTTTGGGCAAAACGATTCAAACAAAATCTGAAAATAATGACCAGTTGAACTTATTACAAGATCAGAAGTTATATAATCGTGTTGAAAAAGTGTCGTCTGCTATAAAAGAAACCATTTCAAAATTTGAAACTCAAGAAGATCCTCCAAAAGCTGAGGAGGTTGTCATCTCACTGGAGGGGCACTCCATACCTAACCCGCGAAACCCCGCGGTACCTGGTTCTTCCCGACCTCCAGAGAAACGTCTGCTCAACAGACCCCAAACTGGGCCGGATTATATGAAAATGAATTCAGTGCAAGAAAGGAGAATTTTACGTGATCTTGACCACCACTTCAACGAACTTCACCGAACGTTGTCTCATCGAAGTAATCCAAGTGATAATGCTAGTCATACTGTTCAGGGCACGGCTTATGATATAGCCAATTACGGATTAATAGGTAAGAAATTTAAATCGAAAAATACAGACAAACTTTCAAGTGAAAGGAATAGGTATCTTCAAATGAAAATGGGGGTCAAACCCAAGTCAACAAAAAGGGTGACATTTGCTCCAATGGAAGAAAATTTAAATAATAGTGAAGTAAAAAATACTACAAATTCTATTTGTGATGAGAGACAAAATTCGTCTCGCACAAAAAGAGCAATTAATCAAGTAAACGCAAGGACCGGATCGTCATCTATGAAAGCTGTGTCATCCGGTGAGTTATCCCGCCTTAAAAAGCGTATCATTCCGGACCATTTCATTTCCGATACGAAGCCAAATTACGATCTCATGGACAATATTAGAATATCTGGAATGTCTTCTAGAGAAAACAGTAGTGTCCCTCCCCGACCCCCCTCACGGATGTCCGAGGTCAGATCAATGGGGTCGGAGGGTGTCACTTCTTCGTATTTCGATGAAGTAGCGTTCGATTGGAATGACCGTGAAACCGATGCTGCTGATCGTGTAAGTTCAAATGTACCTAAAAGTTATGGTGCGTCATCGTTTTACCCTGACAATACTAAGAATAAACTCAGTTTCAACCAATATCAGTACAGTGATTCTGAAGAAAGTTCTGAAGAGGAAGATAATGAAACCTATCGCATAGTAAAAGCCGTGGACTTAGGTACACTATCGGGATATCAACACCGGAAATTCAGGAAACCGCCTACAAAACTAGAAACATCGACAACCCATTTCGTTAAGATTAAAGTAAAATGATCATGATGTTTCTCTCAATACAGAAAATACCAAACTGTAAAACACGAAGGTTAATCAATACAGGGACGATACACAACTCAAATATTTTGGAACAGGACAAGACTTATTTATGACCTGAGTATTTATCTATTCTCTTCTCATTACCACAAATAAACAGGTCCGGCACAATGTCTTGATTAAGCTATATAGCTTGATTTAGCTATAAAGCTTTATCAAGCTATTCAGAATAGCTTGATTAAGCTATTTTCTCAGACTTTTTTCTCAAATGTGTTATTTTTCCAACATGTGCAAAAAGTCGCACCTAAGTGCAGTGGAAATATTAAACTTTGTTTTCTTCTGAATACAATGCATGTAAAAATTACTCACCAAAATGCATCTCCTTAAGAGACTTTGTACTCAAAGATTTAAAAGTTTTGGGGCTATTGATGAGTGACAACACAGTTATTTCTTGAATGAAAGTATAAAAGAGGCCAGTTATGGCCAACAGGATAATTGATTAGTAACAGTTCAGCACAATGAGAAGATCACCGAACACACAGTTACTCAAACAATGGAAATGTTTATTTTGCTTAAAGTATTCAACAGCAGCAATGTAAGAATTTTATATGATTTAGGTTGTATTTTTGGTAGTCCATAATACATATATGAATAATCAAATACTTGCGACTTTTTGTTTATTTCTTTCAAAAAACGGATTTGTGAAAAACTGCATATAAATAGCTTTATCAAGCTATTCTGAATCTTAATAAAGCTATATAGCTTTTTAAAGCTATATAGCTTAATCAAGAGATTGTGCTGGACCTGATAAATGCTTTTCTGATCAATAAAGAATTAAATAGGATAATAAAAGCACATTATCAGCACATGCGATTACACGGCAACCTGTGCATTCAGACAGTCGGAAAAATACAACAGAGCTGAAATTTCCTAAAACAAATGTTAACAGTTTTATCTGGTGGATTAAGTGTCACTCATGCTTCTTTGGGAAATGTGATAAATTTAATTTGGATGAGCCGATTGCAAAGACGGCGTTTCTCGGCTCGGGTATATGGAGAAAATATTCCGGGTTGCTAGTTTTGTTCTGTTTAATTAAGGCCTGGAATCGGTGTATCTACATTGTCAGCGATAACAATCTATGTGTTATGCAAGAAATGGTTCTATAGACAAGCAGGGCAACATAATGCCTATTGTAGTATATTACAAAACATGTGCCAAATATTAATTATTATTTTAACAATAAACCAAAATCATCACTGCGGCTGGAGTAATTTATTTCTTTGGTTCAGACCCACACTAGGTATAGTGGGGTTGAAGCACACGAATTTTTGAGTTGTGTAAAATTTGGCAACATTTCATTACAAATGAGAGAGAGAGAGAGAAAGAGAGAAAGAGAGAGAGATGCCCTCCTCTATAGAGACAAACTTCATACATGAAGTTATGAAAATTTATAGATATTTTTTGTTTTGTTTTTTAATTCTTTAAGAAAAATGGGATAAATGACCTCTTTCAAGACTTAATTATTAAATTCAAAATTTACTAATTTCCTAAAGGCTATTTATTTTCTTGGTGAAAGGAAATTGCACTTTAATTGCACCCAAGGAATCAAACCTGGTCATATATTTTTTTTGCTTCAGTCTTTCTCTCTCTGAATCAATGTTCTGACTTTACCTATTACATCTACTGATTACCACCCCCACACCCCCCCCCCCCTCGAATCTTTTATAACTTGTGAACTTTTGAAACGGTGCAATGGGGAAGGGAAGGGGTATACGGTAAGTTTCTTCTCAAGTGATGAATACTTCAATGTCAAGGCAAAAATATCCTACTTAAAGTCTAAAATATTACACTTAAAACCACCAGTTTTATGAAAATTATTCATGACATACTTAAAATAACCCAGATTGTAATTAGGTATAAAGAATTTTTTTTATTAAAAACTATAATATATGTAATAAAAATTTTGTATCAGATCATAAAACAAAAAAGCAATAATTAAATTCTTAGTACAAAAAAAGCAACAACACATTCTTCTCCAATAACTGAAAATATCATTTCACAAACTCCTCAGTTTTTATATATATATTTTTTTCAAGTACACTTGACTTTTAGGCTGTCTTAGAACTTAAAGTTCTTACATTCATTGAAAACATTCAAAACAAAGTGTCAAGTTAACAACAATAAAAATGTGTGTGTTTGCAGTCTACTTGAGAGAAAAAAAAACTTTCCAAACTGAAAAGATGATAATTTGAGTAAAAGTGCCTCAAGTTTACAAATATAACAAACAAAAACTTAACCTCTCTATTGTTATATTAATTATTATTGATAGCCTTTGTGGTTCCTTAACCACTAATTGAATTGTACACTTGGAACTGAAAAATGGAAGTTTCCCAAACTTTCTAAATAAATACTGCCAGGTATCTTATTTGTCCTTGCATAAAAGACTATTGTAATGGTCCTGCATGTTTTTATTGACACTGTAAATTGACACATTCTGAACGTTTGTTGACAGAAGGCAGAGTTGATTCAGAACAATACTTGTGATTTAAAGGATTCAATCCTAAGAAATAAGTTAATATGGAATCAATATCCAAGTAAAATAACTCACAAAAAAAAAAACAAATTTCAAAAATATGATAACTAGATATGTGATACATGTACACATAAAAATCACTGGATAATATATCAAGGATTCCTTCATACATATACATGTAGTCCAACATGATAATTTTTTTTTTCTGATTTTATATCACATACAACAAGAGCTCACATGATAAAGTCTAAGTAAATAAATGAAAGTACAAAAATGAAAGACTGATGGTGTAAACAAAAGGAACAAACTGTCACACATGTAAGTGATGTAAATTACAATGTTTGCTGTATATATAAAATTATAGGAGATTCTTTTGGTTACAACATTATTGTCAAAATTCACAGCATACAGATCTAACAAGGCCAGCCAGTTAGACAAAAAAAACTATACATGTATAATAATAACAGCAATATCATGAAGCATAAATGAAAAAAAATGAAAAAAATGAAAAAAAAGAAAGAAATCTGATTAAGTAAAACAAAGATATGTACAGAAAATGAGAGTAATAAGACAATCTCACTATATAACCTGGGTTATTTCTAAAATCAAAGAAGTATAAATGGACAAAAGAAATCTGATAAGTTAAACAAAGATATGTACAGAAAATGATAGTAATAAGACAATCTCACAATATAACCTGGGATATTTCTAAAATTAAAATTTGTGGCATCACAGATAGAGTCCAGAAGAACCTGGACATAAAATTGATGAATTGCAAAAAAAAAAACAAAACAAAAAAAAAACAACACACAAACATCGAATATTATCTAAGTCTTTGTCCAGTTCACTTTCTATTCAGTGTAAATACACAGTCTTCCTCAATGACACTTCCAAGTTCACCGAGTATTTTTGGACATCTACATAAAGAGGCTCACATTGAAGTACTTGGATTGCTGTCCAAACTCTTTAGAAGATCTGGACATTAGACATTGCGTTTGCACTGCGAGTGCTGCTCCTGGCACTACTGGGGCGAATCAGGTCCACCGTGCTCCCCGTCAAACTCTCGTCATCCGTGTACGTCATGCTCTGGTAATCTGAAGTAACGGAATTATACGTATTTAAAAAGGGATGGGATAAAAATCACGCTGTATTAACTTAATGATTAAAACCAATCAAAGATGATTACAAAGTTCATCTCAATGAATGTAAAAAAAGACCTGATCACAAATCAAATAAATGATACATAAAAAAGAAACAGTTATTTGAATCAATACAGTGTTTGTAAAACATCCAGAAAACATAACATCTACAAGAAGATAACATCCTTAAATATTTCACAGGTAAATGTGCATCATCTATGCAAGTTTGTTCCAGGTCAAACTTGAAAATACTATTGAATATTCAATAAACCTGCATCAAATCTCTGCCACTGATTCAGAAATCATACATGTACACCAAATGTAGCATCAAAAGCACAAGAGATTTTTAAAATTCATTGATAAAAGACGTACCATAATCTGTCCTAAATCTGCCGTGGGGTTGTCGTAACTCTATCGTGGATCCGCCTAAGCTGGACCCAGCAATACTGTCAGTGTCCGTACAGCCGGAGGTCCCTCCTACAGGATATACACCGTTATCTATTGATAAAATGAACAACATTAGGGATAGGCAAAACATTTGTGGAGTAACACAGAACTACATGTAAATTAGATGATGGGAAAATTTTTTCCATGGCATGTGAAGCCATAACATTAATACGAAAACAGAACCAAGGTTTCTTCACATTGCAACTCTGGTGACTTTATGTCAAAACACTGGATGAAAGCAATGTATGTACATGCAGGTCTAAATCTCTAAAGATACAAACATGTATGTAGGATGCTATTCTTACCTTTTTTGAAACTACTGGATTTCTTTCTGCGGGACTGATCAGGAATCTCATCATCCAACAAATCTGTTTGATCTTTTGCAAAGTTTATAAACACCTACAGGATAAAAAAATCCTTATCCTACAGTTTTATTGTAATAACTAGAACTGTCCAATTGGGACAAAATACCCCCCGCTGGGTTTTTCAGAAGTAAGTTTTTGCATAATAAAGATATGTATCAAACACGAATTATAAAATTTTTCTTCCGGTGACCTTGAACTTCCCAAATGACCTTGGGTCAAGGTCATGACACACCCTTGGGTCATGCAATCTTTTAGTAAAATAAGAACCTAAAAGTTTATCAATAAGAAAGATATACCGGACACAAATTATGAAATTTTTCTTCCAGTGACCTTGAACTTCCCCAAATGACCTTGGGTCAAGGTCATGACACACCCTTGGGTCATGGGCAATCTTTTTGAAATGAGAACCTACCAAGTTTAAAGAAAGATATGGACCGGACACGAATTATAAATTTTTTCTTCCAGTGACCTTGAACTTCCCCAAATGACCTTGGGTCAAGTTCATAACACACCCTTGGGTCATGGGCAATCTTTGTGTGAAATGAGAACCTACCAAGTTTATTCCATAAGAAAGATATGGACAGGAAAGGAATTATGAAATTTTTCTTCCAGTGACCTTGAAGTTCCCCAAATGACCTTGGGTCAAGGTCATGACACAAAATCTTTGTATGAAATGAGAACCTACCAAGTTTATCCAAGATATGGACCGGACACGAATTATTAAATTTTTCTACCAGTGACCTTGAAGAGAAATGACCTTGGGTCAAGGTCATGACACACCCTTGGGTCATGGGCAATCTTTACGTGAAATGAAAACCTACCAAGTTTATCCATAAGAAAGATATAGACCGGACACTAATTATGAAATTTTTCTTCCAGTGACCTTGAACTTCCCCAAATGACCTTGGGTCAAGGTCATGACACACCCTTGGGTCATGGGCAATCTTTACGTAAAATGAAAACCTACCAAGTTTATCCATAAGAAAGATATAGACCGGACACTAATTATGAAATTTTTCTTCCAGTGACCTTGAACTTCCCCAAATGACCTTGGGTCAAGGTCATGACACACCCTTGGGTCATGGGCAATCTTTGTATGAAATGAGAACCTACCAAGTTTATCCATAAAAGATATATGTCAAACATGAATTTTGAAATTTTTCTCCCAGTGACCTTGAACTTCCCCAAATGACCTTGAGTCAAGGTCATGACACACCCTTGGGTCATGGGCAATCTTTGTGTGAAATGAGAACCTACCAAGTTTATCCATAATAAAGATATGGACCTCACACGAATTATGAAATTTTTCTTCCAGTGACCTTGAACTTCCCCAAATGACCTTGGGTCAAGGTCATGACACACCCTTAGGTTATGAGCAATCTTAGTGTGGAGTAGATTCTAATGTCCCTCTAATGGTGACAACCGGACAGACTCACCAAACGGACAAGGTATTAAAAATTAATAGTAAAATCCATGTACACTGTATATGATTGACATGCAAGTTTATGAGTTTTTAATTTTTGAAAAATTTAACTTCATGTAAAATTCAAAGCCAGACCAAAACCCTACTGTAATCATTCTATCTTCTGAATTTAGTGAATTCAAATCAAAACTTGTGATCTTATTAGCAAAATCAGTGTTTTTAATCTATTAAAAGTTCTAAAAATCTTTAAGATTATTCAATAACAGACTGTTTGGTTTAAAAATTGAATGATAAACTTTACTTTATTGATCAAGTAGATTTAAAATACGAAATTTACCTGATCCAAAGTAGTTTGGGAGACAGAGTAATCCTCAATATTGAGTTTGGACTTGGCTTTTTCCAGCTGCCCAAAAATATTGGACAGTTTGACTCTGGATCTCAGCTGATATTGTAACATGTTGTGATGGGCCTCCAAAAGCTCGGCTCCTCGGAACGTGGAACAAATAAAATCCTCCACATTCTTCATGTCTGGATTCTCTCCCGCTACCCGGACAATAATGGTGTAACCCTCACCAAATCTGTAGAAAATAATATATGAATTTGAGTTACTTTTAAAAACTTAATTTAATGATATGAATAAATAATCATACGAATATTCTTAATGTTTGCTATAGTCCTATATTGTAACATGGAATAATGAGGAGTACTCCTTATTATATTTTTGATATGCATAAACTACATGATAGTGGGAAAAATACATGTGCATGTTTTGTTACAATTTTTAAACAAATAATGTAAAAGGAACATGAATACAGTTGGCTATGAACATGAGTTCAGGATTGAGTGGTATAAAACGCTGACCTATTTTTGAGATGCTGGATGCTTCCGAGACAACGGAAAGTTCCGTTCACCATGATGGCCAGTCTGCCACACAAGGCCTCACACTCCTCCATACTGGGAAAGCAAGAAAAAAATGTCAACAACTGATTCATAAAATGACATACTCTATGAAAATGTTCATTAATTCCTTTATATTAAACAGAACCTTCAGACAAGTGTATGTATAGCCATGCTTTACCTGTGAGAAGTAAGGATAACCGAGCGCCCATCCTTTATAATGTTCTTAATGCAGTTCCATAAGAATCGCCGAGCCCTGGGGTCCATTCCAGTAGTGGGCTCATCCTATAAGGAAGCCAGAAAAAAAATGCAGTGAAGTAAAAAAAAAAAGATGATTTATGGCTATCAGGAAACCAATATTAATACATTCATTTTTTTAGTGTTTCTGTGTAAAAAAATTGGTTTTAAAAAAAAACAGACATGCAAAATAATTTTTTTCCTAGTGGGAAATATAAATTGGCCTTACCAGAAATATGATCTGTGGATTTCCTATCAGGGAGATGGCTGTGGACAGCTTGCGTTTGTTTCCTCCAGAGTAACTTCCTGACAGTTTGTCAGCGTATATCAGCAAGCCTAGTTTTCTGATGGCCCAATCTGACACCTACAAAATATTTTTTAAAAAGTCTAATAATAATTTGAATTACATGTACAATATAGTACCCAGTATATGTTTTTTGAAATTGTCTTTTTTCATATTAAACCTTTATTTTTCAATGACCTTTGATATTATAATATGTTTTACTTAAAGCCTTGTATTCCTATATTTGGCGTTATTAGATTGCGTTCTTTGCGTACCCTGTTGACATCCTTCCCCTTCACTCCCCTCAGCCTGGCGTAGAATCGTAGGATTTCCCGCCCCGTCAAGAGGGGGTCAAAGGCATCAAACTGGGGACAGTATCCAATGTCTCGACGAACCTTCACCATGTCTGTCAAAATGCTGCAAAAGGGGACATAAAAATGTTAAAGTAAGAATTACTGCAGATCTGAAATGACAGGGATGACATTAAGATATTTTTTATTTTATGTTCAAATACTTTATGTCAGTAATTTTTGTTACAATACAGTAAATCATTTGTTATTTGGTAGTTGACTGAGTAAAGATCAATGTTCTATAGTAAGCATGTAGGTATTTGATTTATCTATGAGGGCTCAATAACATTTATTGAATTGTGTGTAGGTGTGCATTGTAATGGAAATTTATTTTGAAAGAAATTATTACCTGTTGTTGTTTAGGAAAGCATTTCCTTCAGTTACAAAGACATCTCCTGTGAGCATCTTAAATGTGGTTGTCTTCCCTGCTCCGTTCACTCCTAGTAAACCAAAACACTGCCCCTTGGGGACCCCCACACAAAGTCTATCCACTGCCGTGTTACGTCCTTTCTTACCAAACAATCGATAAACCTAACAAAAGATTATTATTTGGCTATGCATCAACACAGATTTAGATAGATGTCAACAAGTACACTGAAACTCCTGTAATCCTTTGCTCTATCTATTAGGCCTGAGTATCGCAACCTAGCGATATGATACAAACATGGCCATGCGATACATGTATCATGATACAGCTCTCAACAATTAAATTAATTGATATCTTTACATCTTCTTGCTTGGTAACCTGTACGGTAGAAAGTCTAAAAAGAATGTCTTGAGACCCCTAACCAAAGTTATTTATACATGTATGAGGATTTATAGTCTTAACATCGTATTTCTTCATTGCCACCTTTTTTTCAATCATTTTGTAACATTGTAATTTTTCAGTTTACATATAAAATTTTCAAAAGAGATAATAAAATTAACTTGTACTGTATCAGGATACATACATGGCCATACGATATGCATATATGTAGACGTATCTTTGTGAGATTCTTGAGTCTGAGGATATCATCCTTCGCCCTATCTATCAGTATTATATAGACGTACCTTTGTGAGATTCTCGAGTCTGAGGATATCATCCTTCGCTCCTCCTGACTTAATCCTCTTCCTCTCGGCTGCTACGTCCTCATCCTCGTCACTCAGAGGCTTGTGGGTAGGTTTGGGTGACCAGAAACACATCCTGTGGTACAAAGACATGCGTTTTAACATTCTCTGTACATGTACTTATTCATGTAATAATCACTGATCACATCAATTCCATTTTATTTTTTATCTGTCAGAATTTGGTAAGTTCAGAATAAGAGATGACCAATGATTTTTCATCATTTTGAACACAGGGAAAAATTAACTGATGAGAAAGACATACCATTGCATGTCCATTTATTTAAATGCAGAAAGTATATATGCACATGATATGCATTAGCTCCATAATCAGTATCAATAGCATCAAGATAACCTGGTAAGTATTAAGCCCCCCTTGAGTGACAGAAAAATCTTACCCTCTTTTTATGAAGAAATTGTACTCTATCAGAAGGTTGCCAGTGAAGAATACAATGCCAATAAAAAACATGGACAACAGGTTTCTTCCCACTTGGTCAAACTCAAATGGGCTTGTGTAGATTGTTTCACCTGCGAAGAGAAAAACATTTCTAAATCAGATCACAAAGCAGTACATGTAAATCATCATACATTAAATACTGTACATGTATAATACAGGACTACATAATTGTTAAGTGTGTAGTTTAAGTACCCAGTAAAGCGGCAGCATCTGAGACCCTCTGATTATAAGCCATGTCCATCAGCCCTCTCCCTAGACCATACTGAGGCAACAGCAGGAAAACCCGCTTCAGAATGGTATTTATATTCTTCAGCTCCTGCAAAATACAATAAATAGCACTTTAAATTTAATGACTCTCAGTTTTGACTGCATTTTACAATACAGCAAAATCTGGATATACAGTGTACTAGTATTTAAATTTCATGGAAAAAAGATTCACTACATTTTGATTTCAGTGTAAACAAAGTTGAAAATTCAGATGCATTTTTTTCATTATATTGCACTGGATAATTAACTGAAGAGATTTTTTATCCAGGGAATATAATAAACAGAATCCAAAACATTTGTCTGTATACCTCGTCATCCTGCTGTAGGAACTCTATAACGTAGGTGGCCAGCGTGGAGGTGGTGCCCAGGAAGATGTTAACAGACTGGAGCACCACCATGGAGGTACTGGGGATACTGAAGAGGCGAGAGAAGGGGTACATCACGGGAATCATGGACCACCTGTAGAATAACAAAGTGTTAACTGTCAAAAACTCATACATACATCTCATTCATATACCATTCACTGCATCTACTTGTGTGAAATACTATGACCATAGTTTTATTTTGGGGTTTTCATAGTTAGGAGAGATTAGAAATTTGATGCCTGGAAATAACTGACAATCTGAACTCACTAATCCATGTTACCAGGTCATCAACATTTCTACCTTTACACAACTCTGTAGTTGTCAATATGGATTACAATTTTCAGCAGAAGTATTAATTGATTAATTACATGTCTATGTTATTTATGCTCCATTCTTAAAAACAACTTACAAGAAAATTCACTTATCCCCCCCACTTAATTCTGGTTTATAATGTATTTACTTGAATCATCCCATTTTCTACAGCTGGGATCAATATTTCCAATTACTGCAAATTTTACCCACTCAAACACATATTGATTAACATCTTTAAGTCTAACACTAATTTGGTAATCTTATCAGGAAAAAAAACAAGTACTGTACAAAAGAAGACTAGTCAATGTGACAGAAATTAGGTAAACAACTGGCAAACACTTTTATTCTGTCAATACTCACCCATACAAAAACAGGAGCAGGATTAAACATGGCCAGTTGTTTGGTCCTACGTAAGATTTATTGTCAAAGGCAACAAAAATGATTATACAGATGAGGCAGGGCATCAGGTAATTCATCTACAAGTAAAGATTATATACACTCTATCAATACAAAATTAGCTTAATAAAAAATTACAAGATACATGTACTACTTAATGTAGCTACACAAATACAGGGTATATTTTATCAAAACATAAATTTTCAGTCAAAAAATATTTTTTTAAATCAAGAAAATACAAATATTACAGCTTATTGGTTCTCTCTAAAATTTTGGAAGTACTCCTTTTTTTTAATTTTCAAAAATGTTAGAAAATATATATACCAAGGACTCACCATATCCCACAAAAAGTTGGACACCCTATATAAAAATAAATAAAAACAGGATTGACTCCACTGACTTTAGTTTATATAAAACTGAAGATGTTTGGAGGTTAGAGGCTTTCTCGAATTCAGCATCTGAAGAAGTCCATTAGTGTGCATGGTAAAACTGGCAAAGTTACTTGGAAATGAAACCTGTATAAAAAAACTAACCTTCACTAATTCGGAAAATATAACACATATCGCAATCACCACATCTATGGCACCTTGGTACCTGAGTAGTGATGAAAATTAATAATATAAACAATGCATGTACATGTACTTTATAACTTCAGTATCTGTGCAACATTTCTAGCTGTCTGCATTGATGTGATTTCAAGTTTGGTCATTATATTTCATAGACTTGGAAATTGCACCAAAAACTTTAACCTGTTCACTCAACCGGAAAAAGTAGTTTTTAATGTAAAGTAACATGAAAAATAAATTAACACCTGTTCACTTAACCGGAAAATGTACATTTCGCATCCGAAGCAAGTCTTAGAATTTGTTAATGCAAGTTTGGTCATTATAGGGCTCATAAAAAAAAAAACCTGCACCAAAAACTTTAACCTGATGTAAATCAGCCCGAAGCAAGTCTGGTAGTATGCATCCTTAGATGTACCATCCATGTAAGTTTGGTCAACATAGGGCTTATAGTTACTAGGAAATGAGACCTACACCAAAAACTGCACCAAAAATGTTAACCTGCACCAAAAACATTAACCTGGTCATTCCTTTGCTGAAATTGCAGCATCTGAAACTTTGACTGGTACAATGAAACACATCAGAAACATCTTCCATGCATGTCTAATCAATATAGGGCATAGAAGTACTTAAAAAGAAAACTGCTCCAAAAAACTTAACCTTTTGGTCAGTTCCAACTTCGTTGAGGTGAGCTAAAAATGTTAGAAAATATATATACCAAGAACTCACCATATCCCACAAAAAGTTGGACACCCAATAAATAACAGGATTGACTCCACTGACAAACTGAAGATGTTTGGAGTTGGAGGCCTTCTCCTCAATAAGAACCATGGTAAAACTGGCGGGTACAAACGACATCGCGAATATAACACATATCGCAATCACCACATCTATGGCACCTTGGTACCTGAGTAGCGATGAAAATTAATAATATAAACAATGCATGTATTTTATAACTTCAGTATCTGTGCAACATTTCTAGCTGTCTGTATTGATGTGATTTCTTTTATCTTTTGAGACTTGTTTAACTTCTAAGTAGTTTTTAATGTAAAGTAACATGAAAAATAAATTAACATTTGACATTTCATCAACTTATTTGTTAAAAGCAAAAAAAAGTTAAGATGTAAATCAGACACGTGCTATATAAGAAGGGAAGGTTAGTTAGAATCCTTACAACAGATTCTCGTTGAGCTGTTCTTTGGTCAGTTCCATGGGGTGAGTAATCCCTACAGATACATATATGTAGAGGTTATTCATGGCGCTCATGTAGGCCACCACAGCAAACCAGCCTTTGTTGTTATACCAGACCTACATGTAAAAGGACAGCATGGGATGATGATTAAACAATGAAGCTTATATAGTAAATGCACGTATAACAAAGAGCAGAAAAGCAGACTAAAATTGACCTCCCTCTTTATGAGAAATCAATCTGCTAGAAAACATATTGCAAACAAATGCAAAAATCAACTGATAAATGTTGAAATGTATGCAATGAAATTTTTTTCATCTACATGACTGTATAAAAAATTAGACTCTCAACTTCTCATTATAAATTGTATTCTATGTCTTAAACCCTTGATGTTTAGAACAATATTTTTTAAAATTTTGAATCAAACCTGACCTTATTAACCCTCTGTGTGGCCAATCCCTGCAGGGTTTCTATGAGGACAGTCTCGTTAAATGATGTCGTCGGAGTCCCATTGTTTAACACAGTGAACAGATTGTCTATCACAACCCTCAGCTCTGTGGCATTAAATGCTGCTAAAGGATCCTCATCTCCGAAGGAAAATCCTCCAAATCTGAGAAATTATCACAAATAAAACTATTAACAGACATTCTATAGGTAAAATAGCTGCTTTTCAAGGGAAGTCACAATTTTATAGCACTGAGATCTTCACAAATTTATTTGCTTTTATCAAAATTTTACAAAAATTCCCTAAAAAACTGAAAATTCCGAAGGAATCCATTTCTCAACCCAGACTGTACAATTCATTGGCGTACATGATTTGTCTTTTGAGACACTTTTACACACCTCCGTTTCTGGTATTTCTCCATCGTCTTGACGAGCCAGTCACTAATGTTCCTTGCTGTCATGTTGTACAGATAGTCCGAGGTCGGTAACAGCTTACTCGGGGGCTCAGGGCCTCCTGCACCTGTTATACAGAAATCAGAAACAATAACATCATCCAATATAATTCTTATTGGTTTAATGTAACTTTCTGAAATAACTACATTGTGTATGTGTACATGAATAAATGGTCATTTGCAACTTATAATTGAGTATGCATGTTTTTCATAAAAAAAATCTCATTACAGTAAAACTAGGTTATAACGAAGTCACTGGGATATATGAAACTATTTCGCTATACAGGTTATTCATTATATCCGTACACGGTAAACCAATTTTTATTCGCGTGCTAGAAATTTTCGTGAGTTACCGGGGAGCCTCATATATCGGGAATAATTTGCCGCAAGCCTATTTAGGTTCTCTTGTGAATAGACAAAGATCCTAGAAAGGCTTGGTGGCAAAAAATATTCGCGATGACGTTTAGGCTCTCACGAAATCACAAATTAAAGTCGCACGCGAATAAAAGTTTGTTTTCAATGTATATACATGTAGCTTGGGATCCAAGATAACTTGGCTACATCCATGAATTTGCAATATGTGTGTTTGTATGAAACAAGTTTTACTGTATATATTAAACCTGTGCATGCAACAAGTGACAGAACTGTTGATTACCTGGAGGACATTTCTGGAAGCCCGTGTCACAGGAACAGCTGGGAGAGTCAATGGTAGTGTTAGTATAGATCGGGCGGAAGTTCATCCAGTTGGAGCTTTCACCAGTACAAGGATAATCCCTGAAAATAAATGTCAACATTGTTATATATGATATCCTCAATATATCAATAAATAAAATACAGCAAGACTTCAAATTATAATAAGGCAATGGTGTTAGTCATCATAAAAATGTGAATTTATGCGTACCTCCAGTTTACTCAGTAAAAACTTAATAGCAACTCTCCTACATGTATATCTGACAGTGATTATTGTTTTCAGTATGTGAAATGGCAATCTAAAGAAGTCTTACTCAATACTGTAGACATTGGGGTTCAGACAGCGATTTCCGATTCCTGGCCGAGTTAGCAGACTCTGAACCATTTTATCTGACCAATCCTGACCCTTGCCATCATTGCTGAAAAATACAATTACTCTCCAATCATTTACCAAACATAAAATCCATGGGTTATGCACAAAAATGTTTTCTTCGATTTGAATGTTTATTTAATTGTAAATGCACATACATCAAATATGTTAAAACAAGGTGGGTTTTTTTTGGTTGACTAAAATGTACATTCTATATTTTTTCATTTTATTTTTCATCAACAAAAAAGCTACATGTATATTTATCTTTACCCAACAGTACATTCTGTTTACCTATAGAAGACAAAGAGATGCTGATCTCCCTTGGTGGGCACATATCTCCAGGGTTGAAGTTCTAGGGGTGGCTGCTTGTCTCGAGGGGGCGTTATCTCAGCGAATATCATGGCCAGTAACACAAACAATGCAGGCATGATGATCTAAACAAAACAATAATTATGACTATCTATACATTACATTCATTACAGTCATTCCAAGTATCTACATTCAAATCAACCACAACAAGTAAGTGGCAGGTACTAATAAAGACACGGTAAAACTCGGTTATAACGAAGTCACTGGGACCTATGAAATTACCTCGCTATATAACGAATTCGTTAAATTTACATGTATACAGCTGGGAGTCCATGATAATTTCACTATATCCATGAATTTGCAATATCCGTGTTCGTACTACATGAGGTTTACTGTAACAATATACCAGAACAACTGATTTCTAGAACTTATTGGATATTTCCTTTTTGAAAATAACAGTTTCAGAGTCCCTTTTAACCTGAAATCAACAGATTTTTAAACTGTGCTTCCAATGAATCTCACCTCGAAGAAGAATCCTTTTTTGGATCGCCTGACGTGGTGGAATCGTTTGATAAACAGAGCCTGGAACTGTCTCAGGAACAGGAACTTCCCACTGACCTTCTGGTAGTCGTCCATCCTGAAGCCGGCCTCCGTGGGCGCCTCACTCGTTGGAAGGGAGGCCAGGGATTCTATAATATACATTGTATTTTTCTTGATTTTAAAATTAAAATTTCTTTTTTATAGCCCATTCTACAGTGTTCTGTAAATTTAGCTTTTCTTATCTACTGGTTAAATTAACTCTATCTCATTTTAACAAAGAGATTCAAACAAGCAGATCAAACCAAACATGTAACCTCAATCGTACAGATTATAAATAGACTGAAACAGTTGTTTAAAGATGCAGACAGAGAATCATTTAACAAATCAGCTGTGTTGAACACTCATTTTTTTTCAATAATAAATGAATCTAATGCTATCTTCTCTAAGAGATGTCCATGAAGAAGTCAAGGCAGATAATGTAAATAAGAACTGACCTGTATCGCTGATGAGATCCTCAGAGTCAATTCTGCCGTACTTTTTACCCTTCACCAGACTTTTGAGGAACGACTTCTTCTTTTTTCTCCTGAAGCTAAGTCTGCTAACAGGGCGAGCAAACCGACCACCTGATTAACAATAGCTAGGAATATCAGGGACATTTTATTGATGTCTAACGAATACACATTATTATTTTTATTGTAAAATGATGCTCTTTCATGACTTTCAGTGATGTCAACTATCAAAGAATGAAGATAATATAAAGTAATTATTCTAAAAGTACACTTACTATCGGTAAGATCTTCAAGCCTGCTTCGTCTGACTTCATCGGGTAATTCTTCTTCTGTTGTTTGTTCGGCAACTCTCAGGAACACCTAACAATCAATTTACAAGCACATATAAAACTTAACACTAAAAAGAAGAAAAGTTCACTAGTTCATTATCAAACATGGTTTTACCTCTTCTAAGCTTGTGTCGGAGATACCAAAGCTGGAGACTCCCAGACTTCTGTGGTTCTTTTCCAGGTCTGTGAACAAAGTTTCAAACTTCCTGAGTTCCGATTCCCCGTCTGGTAGCTGGAACACGAGTTCTGTGGTTGTCTCCTCGATCAGCCGAGCCTGTTTGATGTGACGCTTAATGAAAGCACTCAGACGGTCTACAGAGAAACCTGTATAGTAAAAAAAATGTTTTAAATCCAAGAAATTTTCACTTATTTTCATACAACTCATTCATTGAAGTTATTATTTCTATGTGAAAGTTGCATTATTGAAATTCTTAAATGTATATACATGTATCTAGCATAAAAGATATGATTTAAAAAAAATCTTGTTTGGAAACTACACTGTATTAATATATTAAACTAAAAAATTCTGCAAAAACAAACCATCCCGGGTTATGCCCACATTTTACCTTGCAGTAAAAAGTACACCTTTGCATAATAAGAAATATTAGTTATTGTATACCTGGAATCATGGTGGCTCCCTCTGGGGGTGGGGTTGGGGGCTTTGAAGGGGGATCACTCCCAGAATCACTCTTAGAATTCTCATCATATCCTTCATCTTCAGGCTCTCTGATTGATGCCTGGAAAAAATATGTACAATTTCAAAATGCTAATCTTAATTAAACCGATGAAATCAGTATCATTATAATAAGATTTAAAATTACATCAGACAACATCTGAGAGTAGAGGTTACAAAAATGAGAGGAAGACAAAACAGACTCAATACAGTGGACTAAAGAGATCTCAACAAACAAGAAGTGAAAGGAAACATGCTGAAGACAAAATTATCACAGAAATAAATGACATACAGAAAGGTTTGTAGAAAGAGACTGTTCCATTCATGAGTCAGTTGTCTATTATTTAGGATATTTTGACCTATTTTATTGCATCTTCTAAAACTCATTATCATCATTTCTAAATCTATATGAATAGGATGGCCAGGTTCAAAAATGGATTGAAAAGATGTCATTCCTTGAATAGCTTTGAAAAAGAACAATGGAAATAAAGCTGGTCAAAACAAAGAAAACATACAGGCATGAAAAAAAAAATGACTTGATTGGATTTTCTAGCAGGAAAATTATCAATAGAGAACAGCTGCATTCCTTGGAAGTTTCACTGTGCTTCAAAATTCTCTGTGCTTCAAAATAAAAACAATTCTTGCAGTGATATGTCTTGCAAAAGAGCAATGCATATCTATACACATACTCACCAAGTTTGCCTATTAATGATCCACATATTTGTTGCATAACAAAGAACAAAAATTTATATAATATGTATTCAATGTCCTTCAGAAATGTAAAATTCTTATATACTTCACACACCTCGTACATTATATATTGAAGTGTAGAGAGTTTCTCACCTTGACGGCTCTCACGGTCCGGATACTGCACACAGTGCTAGGTCTGGAATCGATTGACATCGTGTCATATGGATCATCGTCATCGTCATCATCAGACTCCATGTCATTGCCGTATTCTCCCTCTTTGCCGCGTACCAACGTCAAATAGAAGCCGCTGCCGTACTGAGATTTTAGGAAGAGACTTGAACCACAACAGCAGAGTTTTCCATGAGAGATAATGGCGATTCTGTCGCCCAGTACGTCCGCTTCATCCATATGGTGTGTAGACAGGATAATGGTCCGCTCTATCAATAAGATAAATTATAACCATTCAGACCTCAGCACATCTCTTTTCTCTTACCAAGGTTCAAAAGGACATTGTTTACACATTTTATATTATTAAATGAGTCCATATATATTACTACATGTACACATATGCAACAGTTATGTTTAAAAAATGATTTTTATTCAAGGTAATTTCACTTTCATCTCAATCTGTATTCCTAATAATATATTAATCAATGTATGTTCAGAACATTTCGACTTAAATTGATTTTATAATGGTTCCACTGACTTTTCTTGAGTTTGATGAGAAGTTCCCAGATAGATCGGCGAGCGTAGGGATCTATTCCAGCAGTGGGTTCATCCAGAATGACTGTCTTGGCATTTCCACAGAAAGCAATGGCTACCGACAGCTTCCTCTTCATACCACCTGAAGATAAAATAAAATCTCCTATCAATTTCTCTTTACATTTCAAATAATAACACTTGGAAATTTTTTCTATACACTTCCTTTGGAAAATTTTGCAGAAAGGGACAAACATGTCCTTGTAACTTACATTAAATGTTATATAATTTTTAGCACATTTCTTTGAATTCTTATTTTTGTGTATGTACAAGACATTTAGTGTTGTACTTGAAAAAGTAGAGGTTGCTTTTTGCTGTCAAAAGTGCTAAAAAATAAAATAAAACACTACAGTGTAGTGGGTTATCTTAGCGGGGTGCTAATTTTGGCTTATTTTGGCATTTTGATGATAGTCTGCTAAAATTTTAATCGCTAAATAGTCAGTAATCCTCTTAGTGTCCATCTGCAAAGGGATTAAACTCTGCGTCCGCTAAAATAAATTGTGCCAAAATTATTGGCATACCTTTGAGCAGACAAAGTGATTATTTTACACTCACCAAGAAAACCCGCTATATAGTATGCTATAGCAAAAACACACTTACCATGAATTGACGCTTACAAATCCATTATTATATATTGTAAACTTGAAGGATATAACAAATTACACTTTACCAGCATTATCCTCCATCCCTGGCACTTTGCTATAAGCATGTTTACTGTTCACAGCCAAATGTCATACATTTACAGTAATTCCTGTCATCCCAAGATTCTTCCAACAATCTATTGGAATTCCCATGGGTACCAATTGCAACCCGTCATTAGCAGACCTACTTTTGTATACCTGACAGTGAGGATGACAGTTCCTTCCTCTTGTGAGGTAGGCCCACATCTTTGATCATCTGCTCCATCTCTTGTTTGATTACTGGACAGTGAGGTTTGATTACCTGACAGTGAGGATGACAGTTCCTTCCTCTTGTGAGGTAGGCCCACATCTTTGATCATCTGCTCCATCTCTTGTTTCACTTCCTCATTCTCTAGTCCTCTCAGACGGGCAAAGAACCACAGGTGTTCTTCTACTGTCAGACTGCGTAAAATATTGATAAGCATGTTATGTTTGTTCATGTAAAAAGCTCCAAGTCTATTCTTCATAAATTCAATTGGTTTTATATTATATTTTGATCCAATAATCCAATAAAAGTTGACCATCTAATCTGCAGCATGAACTAACATACAGTATAATCCCTATTAACCGCCCCGGGTGCTTAGAAAATTTCGAAAAAGGGGGCGGTTATTTTGGTATTCTCTTTATATTATTTAATGTCATTCTTATACTTCAAAAATTTTGAAGAACAACTAAAATAATGTTGGACTTTACTTTAAGTGAAGATAATCCACCCAATTTATGCGATATGATTCATTTTCCACTGAGAAATTAGATAACTGACAAATTACATTTTAATCAATGTAACACACACCCATAGGGGCAGGGGCATAGGGAATGTATACCCATTCCTTCAATACATATTACTTTATCGTTACAGACCATTTTTCTGACCCTCTGACTAAAGAGTGTGGGGTGGGTGGAGGGGATGAGGGGGTGAATGGTGTTATAATTCAGATTTAAGAAACTTACCCATCAAACAGGACGTTATGCTGAGGACACATTCCCAAACTCTTCCTTATGTTGTCCATCTCTGTCTGAATGTTATAGCCATAAATATAGGCCGTTCCATCTGTAGGCTCAAACAGGCCCGTCAGTATGGACCTGTAAGTAAGAGTAGGAGAAGACATGTAAACCAAGAAATGCTTACAGGATTACGTCAAACCTATAATTTCTACATCTTCTTCTGCACTTAATCTCTGTGATAAGATCATAGCGCAAATTAATGAATAATGTAAATTAAGTACACATCTGTATTTTGTAATATTTTCTGTAAACAATGTATGTATTCTAAAGTTAAAATTTGAAATATCCACTATATTGTATTTACATGTGACAAGTTTCTTCCTTGTTTTTTTTTTTTGAGATGTTAATTTATGCACATAAACATTCTCAATGAATGACAAGAATCCTGCTGTCCTTACATGGTGGTTGTTTTCCCTGCTCCATTGTGACCGAGGAATGACGTGATCTGCCCCTCGTAGAAGTTAATACTCAGGTTGTCCACCGCCAGTTTCTTCCCCTGTTTGTACACTTTCCGAAGGTTTCTAATGGACACACCCAGCTTTCTGTTCTTTGGCTCGGCCTCAACATTCACATCTGAAATAAATGAGAACTCACAGCATTCAATATCTGGTATTCAAGGTAGAAATCTATGGGGGAAAAAATTAAGATAGAGACAATTACTAATGAACAATCGACTGAAAATTGCCAAAAAGGTCTATAATTTTTTTTTGTACATTGCATATGCAATACTTTCCACTTTGTATAGCAACAAAAGAACTTCGACAAGAATATAATTACTGAAAAGAAAGTCTGCATTCAAAAAGCATGCAGAAAACAAAATCTGATATTTTTTCAATTAAAATGCTTTTTTTGAATATTAAAACTACTGCATAGCAAGCAGGCACAGACATTGCAATGATTGCATACAAATATTTAAATAAGACAAAAGCTAGGACATATCTTAACTAATAACTGTACACTTACATTTCTTAACCATCTAAATGTCCTGGTATACCATTTATTTACCCATATATTCATACAGCTTCATTGTATTTTACACTATTTAATGCTTATCGTGCCATGGTGGTAGTTTTTCAAGTTAAGAAGCACCACATATTAAGCCTTAGCTAGTAGGAGAAATGCGAGACATAAATGTAAACAGACACGGGAAATTGAGCCAATGACATGTAAATAACAAAGACTGAGACTCACTATAACTTCAGAATGCAATATTCTGTATCTCTTCCATACACCCTGATTTTACTCCATGCCTGTCATGCTGTCATCCCAATTTAATAAGAGAATTAGTTACATGCTAACACAAATAACAGGAGGGGGAGGGGTCAAATACTGAAATATTTAGCAAAACTACTGTTTGACCTTTCATTAAAAAAAAAAAGACATTGCATGCAAAAAGTGCATAATTTATAAATGAATACCTGGATTTATTTGCAACAGTGGAATTCCTTGAAATATATCACAGACAACAAATCAGGTTTTGAAATGGTAACACTGACAATGAATTTCCAAACAGCTAATTAACATGAATTGTTTTTACTCTGTGTACAGGCCTTTCACTGACCGTTATTTCCCAGCTCAACATCAGGTGTGTTGGTCATGTAGGACCTGCCCTCTGCCTTAGCACTGGACACTCCGCACCAGTAGGACTTTTGGAAAGGGAAGTAGAACTTTCTGGCAATGCCATATTGACCTGTAATGATGCATTCCATGTTTATCAGAAACATGTAATTCATAATAAGCAACTTACATGTAATTGTTCTACTACAATACATGTATTATATATACATACTTGTACACTGTTCATCTATACATATATGGATATGTTCATTTACCTTATTTACATTTATTAAATTGACACAGTGTGTGACCAAGACAGGTTTAAAAACTTGTACATGTATTGAAAACTCATCATACATGTATCTTTGTTTGTGCTGTGTATTTAATTACATGCACATGTGTATGCATATTTTTGCATGTATATAACCTTTGTTTACAATTTTTCCTATAGTAGAACAGTTTGGAACTGAATCTCTTGTATTCTTTAAAGGTAAGAACTGCCTAAAGAATTTCTAATTTGTATGTGTCCATACCTGGGAATACAGCCTCAATGTACCAGGTAGCAAGTCCATAAATAACGGAGTCAAGGAGCATCATGAAGATACAGGATAACATGTTGAAGTCATCGTCCACTATAGGACTGGAGGCAATGTTAGACCACTGGATGCCTATAGACTGCTCCTCATAGCGAGCCAGATAGCTACAGCCCCAGCCAAAGGCCACGCCAGAGGAAAAACACTGAAAGAATCCAAATGGAAACAATGTATGTGTACACTGGAAAAACACTGAAGGAATCCATATGTAAACATTGTATATATACACTGGAAAAACACTGAAAGAATCCATATGTAAACATTGTATATATACACTGGAAAAACACTGAAAGAATCCATATGTAAACAATGTATATAAACACTGGAAAAACACTGAAAGAATCCAAATGTAAACAATGTACATGTATATATACATGGGAAAAACACTGAAAGAATCCAAATGTAAACAATGCATGCACATGTATTTCGGAGTTAAGATTAGGTTCAACAAGTCATACTAAAAGAGAAGGCTTATACAATTGCAGCATATCAAATGTAACAATACTATATCATGTTCAAAATGAAAAATAAAAATGTCTCAAATTGTGATATAAAACATTCATGAACATATATAAATCTCTGACAATCTATTGATCTTGCTTACCGAGAGAACTTTTTGTCCTGTGGTTAGATAGTCTTCCCACTGAGCTGCCAGAGTGTAGGGTAGATACATGATGAAGTACAGGAAGCCCGCCACACAAGCAGCCAGGTTAGCTCGGTTAAAGAACGTACTGTACAGGAAACACTGCATAATGGTGGAGATTCCAAACGCAGTGAAGAACACAAGGAGGACACCCCAATCAGAGTGCTCAAGGACATTGCCAGTCTGTTAAAAAAATAAACATCAAACAGTAAACATGCAATGGTTTGCTTTGCAATAGACTTTGTTCATCATTCACATCACCTCTAAAATTACTACAAGTACATACAATTAGTACATTATTTATAATAAAGCATTGCCAAGTCTTAATCTGCCAGCACAATTTTTTTTTTGAGTTATAATTTTAAGGCTTCACCTTAATAATAATGGTAAGAAATATAATAGTGATGAACATCATAATAAACGCATTGATGAACCAGGCCACCCAGTGAACCGCGTTACTCAGTCCCATGATCTTCATCACTTCCTTTAGTCGGTTCTCCTTCTCGTAAACGATGCTCTTACAGATCATAGCGACCGACAAAACCCAGGCTAGAACCAGAAACAGAGGCAGGGAGCGGGAGATCGCAAATATAAACCTACAATCAAAGGATAGTAAATATCAACCTACAATTAAAGGATAGCCCATATAAATCTACAATTAAAGTTGTTAGCTATTATTAAGAAGCAGAAAGAAGGGCATGTGTACCATCTAAATTACAAAGGGAAATTACATACCTGTCCCTGGTATAACAGGGGGAGGGGAATTGCTGGGTCTTACCTGTCCCGGGTATAACAAGGGTAGGGGAATTGCTGGGTCTCCACTCCCACAGACACTTGTTTATTGGTCTGAACATTGATGATGGCATGGTCAACCATGTCCTGAATGTATGCAAACCCATAAGTAATGTACTTTGTGTCAATTCCAGCACTTGACCTAGGTCCTGGCCGCCAGTACCTTAAATAAAGATAAACAGCGTTTTAAGTGAATTTTAAATTATTTGTCTGGTAGGATTGAAAGTCTTTGATATAAGGTAAATACTTACTTGTCTTGTATTCTTGTTGTACTATCAATCTTATCTGTGTCCATTCTTATGGAGTACTTGACATGAGTGGGCAGGGGTGTCTGATCATTGTCCGATACTTTAAACTCCAATGCTACAAAAGAGAAAGAAACCATGACTTGTGTATGTTAAATCCATCAGAGACATCCCATCAATGGCTAAAATTTGATCATTGATTTCCTACCTGCCCAGAATTTCAATTCCTCTATCATTCTTACACCATCATTGATCATCTGTCTCTCATTTTTGTAGCCCACGAACTTATTCAAGTTGAAGCACTGGAGAAAGAAAGGAATAACATCAGGCTATTATATACAGAATGGACTGTAATGTACTCTATAGAAGACTAAGCACTTTGTTATATACAGGAATATACATACACATATATAAACCTTTCATTTAATCAACTACTGATAAAACATGTTTAATAATAATCACATTTAAACAGAGCAAAGTTTCCATTGCACAGAAGTTTCCTTGTGATGCAGTGGCATAGTATTAACACCAGTACTTAAATGTATACATAAATTACATAAAATGTATACAAATTCAACAGTGCAATCAAAACAGAGTAAAACAAGCTGCTGTGAGATAACAATGTACATACTCCTCCAAACTCTGCGATTCCAAGAGCCAAAGTTCTAGTACTATTGATGGCATTCCTCCAGTCGTAGCCTGTTGAATTGCGATTGTTAAGAAAGTTGTTCAGTGATTCACATGCACTGTAGTCCTCGGAAATATTCTGAGTGTTCCTCAACTGGTCAAAAGCCAAATCACAGAGACAGGAACCAGTCAAAGTCTGGAAGAAAACAATGACAAAATCAATTAGCGCATATAAACCCTGACTTCTCTTTTAATGCAGATTTACGTTCCTTATCAATGTGCCAAACACACAATACCATGTACAAAGGAACAGACTGTTGTTTGGTAAGCATTAGCCTAAATCTAAATGTTAAAACACCTATTCCTATTACCGCATAAGTAGAAATTTTAGCAAGGATTTAATTTTGGCATTATTAGTGAGGCTACTGAGATCACTAAAAATGAATATCGCTAAATATTAATTGCGTTATATTTGTAATACCTTCTCTAGTAACCATTTTACAATCACTAAAATTACTTCTCACTAAAATAAATTATCAGTTTTTAGGGAGAAATCCCTAAATTTGTGTCTCGCTAAAATTTCCACTTATACGGTATTTCTTATCCTTGAAACTAGAATTTATTTCACATCAATATGATGTATGCAAAAGGAAAGTCTCACGGTCACATTTTGTCAAATGTTTACTTTCAGAAAACTTACCCGCAGGAATTCAATGTTTGCACTGTTGTTAAGGTAGTTATATATTTCAAAGTAGTAGTCCTGACTGTAGTTCCTGGAAAGCTCGATCACTCTGGCAAACTCCTCAAAGGTCTGATTGGCCTAAATACACAAACATTGTGATTTACATGTAAATACAACCTGATTAACATTATATATGTAATAGTCAACTAATGAAAAAAATGATAATTAGGAACAAACCCTTTTACACAACAATCTTAATATCTGAATATGGAATTTTTTTTCTTTCATGAAATCTGGAGCTACTTAACATAGAATGCTATATTCAATCATATGGTATTAAATTTTACTCTTCTGTTTTTGACCCCCCTCTGCACAAAGGCATGAATTTCGAAAATGATGAATTTTTTTTTTTTTATGCGTTTTTTGTTTTTTTTATGCATTCATTTCTTCGACATCAATAAATTTAGTGCAGCAGCAGCTTTCATTTTTCTTGTCATTAATTTCACTGCTTTATTTTTTCAGTAGTAAGTATATTACTTTATCACTATCATTTTTCTGTAAATAGTATTTTTTACCTTTTATTTTTCTTTCTAGTCAGTAATTTTACCCCTTTCTCTAGTCAGTAATTATACATGTACCTCCTTCACTAGTCAGTGATTTTACCTCTTTCTCTAGTCAGTAATTTTACCCCTTTCTCTAGTCAGTAATTATACCTCCTTCACTAGTCAGTGATTTTACCTCTTTCTCTAGTCTGTCATTTTACCCCCTCTCTCTAATCAGTAATTAAACCTTTTTCACTAGTCAGTAATTATACCTCTTTCTCTAGTCAGCAATTATACCCTTTCTCTAGTCAGTAATTATACCCCTTTCTCTAGTCAGTGATTTTACCTCTTTCTCTAGTCAGTAATTTTACCCCTTTCTCTAGTCAGTAATTACACCTCCTTCACTAGTCAGTGATTTTACCTCTTTCTCTAGTCAGTAATTTTACCCCTTTCTCTAGTTAGTAATTATACCTCTTTCACTAGTCAGTAATTTTACCTTTTTTTCCAGTCAGTAATTTTACCTCTTTCTCTAGTCACTAATTTCACCTCTTTCTATAGTCAGTTACATTATCTTACCTCTTTAATGACTTTTCTGACAGCGGGTGTGTCTGGGTAGTACAAGATCTTTCCCTGTAACATCGGCAGAATCTGCTTCCAGAGAACTCGAGTGGTGCGTCTACTATACATTGTGTCATTAATTGTGGCACAAATACCAGTAAATCCTCCTGTACAAAAACAGACACATATTATTGATTAGATCTGAAGAACTTTTACAAATAGAAATAGCATACTGTAAAAGTACTTTTTTCCCATGTGGTATTAATTTACGCCATGTAAGCGGTCACAAATTTTCTGTGGAAATTTGTCCAAGTGTAATTAAAATAAATGTAAGCAGATAGTGACAGTCTAGGAAACCTGCATATTTTCCTAAATGCGGATTAACAGAAATTTAGATACCGCGGAATTATGACCCCATTGAAATAAGTACGTCTACAGTATTGTGAAGAAAAAACACAAAAATCAGACAACTGATTTGCTTGGACATGGCCGATTCATGAGAATTTTATTTATTGTAAACGGCAGATGAATTTTGACTACCACATGTATCAAATTTTAGTCATATAAAATGAAGCTACTGAGATCAAATCTTGAATAAAATTAAGTTTTTGTGCGAGTGATATCATCAGTTAGTGTGGTCTATACCTGATTCCTCTGATGGTTTCGATGGTCCCACGGTGACATTCAGTGTATTGTTCCCGGTCTGTACCCCCGTCTGTACTCCCCCCGTCGCCACTAGACCCCCCAGTCCAGTTGCCAGGCTCCCAATCATCGAGTTACTCCGCCCACACACCATCCTCCCAAAGTCCATCCCTGACCCCGCCGTGGCCTGACCGTCCTGGACCAAATCCTGGAAAAGCTGGACCAGGTCATCTAGACTGGACAGCTGCTGGATCTACAAGCCAGGATAAATATATAGGGACTATCTCATATGCTATTAGATCCAGTGTTTATTCAAAAACAACAATAACAACATCAATAAAACATATACCCTGTACAAGTGAATATTTACAGATTCAAATAATAATGTACATTGAATTCCTGCTATAATGTTCATTGACCATACATGTAGCAATAAAATATTGCATTGTATAATGAAAGTCAAGGAAATCATCTTTGAATTTTATCTTATCTAAATTTACTTTTTATTCTTAATGATCTAAAATATATGTAATAAACCTTCATTCAAGTATTCACAAATATTTTACATCCAATAACTTACATCCTGGTATGCCTTCAACAAAGCAGCCAGAGCACTAGCATCTATCAATGGGCTTCCACCGATGCCCCCTGCATTGGCTATGGCAAATCTCCTTAACTGAAATAGGATAAATTAAACTTTGACTATAAAACTAATAATAAAACCCAGTTAAATCTGGCTACTAAGCCTTTTTAACATAAATGGATAATTTCACATTGATAAATGTATTTTTCAGCAGCCCACCTGGTCCAGTAGAGAGGTGGAATTGAAATCCGTCTGTAGAGCATCCAGCAGCAGAATTACGTTGTTTATACTCTCAGGGTTCGAGAGATTACATAACTGAATGGACACCAGGTCTCGCGCAGCATCGGACGTGAAATTAAAGATCTGAGAAATTTGGTCCTGGTCACAGATCAGGTCACGGAACTGAGCCTGTGTAAGTGTCAGGTTTGTCGAGGGATCGATTCCCGTGCCATTCAGACTGGGGATTTTACAAACCCCTACATCTTCCAAAATGTCATTTACAACTGTTTCATTCAACTGAAAATAAAATAAAATTTTATTTGACACAACAGTAATAAACATCTAACCAAAGATACTGTGCTCTTAGCAAAAGATTTTAAATTCCTCACATGTCCCATTATTATATAGATGCCTTTGTGTCTGGTACTAAATGCATGTCTAATATATATTAAGTACACATATATATTACCAGATTAAGATTGATGCTGGTTCCCAGGAGATCAATGACGGCCTGTCGCGTGTCGTTGTCCTGGAAACTGTCAATTATCTGTTGGGGGTTTACAATCACGCTCCCTATGGTAAAATTCCCTACACAATCCAAAATACCAGTAAATATTACATAAATGAAATATCCTTTATAGTATTTCCAGTTAATAATTGTAAACTTTATTGGTATTATGTTCATGTTAGATATTAAATCACTGAAAAAAAAATCTCAATGTCTAGGTATGAAGTTTTATAGCCAGATGCCAAATCTTAAGGAAGCAAGCTTAAATAGATTAACCCAGCTGACAAATTCCACTTAACATACATTTTGTTACACAAGGTATAGAAATGCATTCTTAAGAAGAGATGTTTTAATGAAATCTTAGTTTAGGATATATAAATCAATGTTTCAAGCAGCATCTAATGGCGACGTAAATCACTTATACCTGAGGAATTTCCACTGCGTACATTGTCTAAGACTCGAGAATAAAACCCAAAATCTTGTAAGATATGACTCAGAGTTATGATGGAGTTATCTTCTAACACTTTTGATATATCTTTTATCAATTTGGTTAATCTGAAAAACAGGAAGAAAATTGTGAAGTCATTTCCAGGTCAAATTTAAGACAAATCTGATAAAATTCAATTTTAGTGAAGAAGACAGAAAAATAGAACAGGAACTGCACTTCAGCTTACGTTGACTGATCAAAACTTCCGATCGTCCCAGAATTCTCATCCTCCGTCACTTTGGAATTACACGGATTATTGAAGTTACACAGGAAAGACTGGACAAAGGGTAGGGCACCAGCACTGGGCATGGCGTTCCCATCATAGTGACCTATAAAACATATAACAATATAACCTACCGGGGTGTAAATAACAATCACATATTTAATACTGTAATCCAATAGCACCAAACACATTCTCAAAAGTTGTCATATATATTTATTTGCAAGGATGAAAAATATTATTTCATAACAGCAATTTAACAGTCTCTCTTTAGCCTTAAAAGAAAGTTAAATTTCTATAAAGACTTTACAAAATTGTGACAAGTGTAACAGGCAGGGCTAGCCCTATAATTGGCCCCAGAACTGCAGCTCTTGATGCTTTATGTGTATACTTACACTCTGTGTAGGGGACCTTTAGGTTTGGTCTGGTCCTCACAATGACTAGAATGATGAATAATGCCAATGGAAAGACAGTCTCCGCTACCAGCCGGAACTACAGTGACAATCAAAAGACATCATCACAGTCATATAGAATAAAATAACAATGCCCACAGAAAGAGGGTCGCAGATACCACTCAGAACTGTGAAAACAATCATAAAATATCATCAGGCATTAAATTAATAACAATGCCAACGAAAAAATGGTCTCAGCTACCAGTTGGAACTACGAAAGCAATCGTAAAATATCATCACATAGAGAATAAAATAACAATTGACTATGTGTGGTCTGAGAATAAATTTTTAAAAAATTTTTTACCTTCTGTCTCCTTCTGAGAGTAAAATTTTTCCAGGACAGGAGCCACAGCTGGCTGAAGAAACCCATGTCTTACTACTGGACAGTTACTGGAAAGGTCACGGGAAGCTAGGGTAAAGTCACAATTGACGTACTAAACACTCTCATCATCTGAAGAGAAAATAACAGTGGTTAGAGTAACGAAAGCTCAGCAAGTTCTCTGAATCATATGTACTATTGAACTCTGTTTATCTTCTTAGTAATCCTGTGTCAGACAATCTGACTTTTTAATATAATATACCAATGAAGGAGACTGGAAGTACATGTAAATACAGCTATAAGCTAATTAAAAAAATTACTTCTCTTATTTAATACAAAGCTGCATAAGAATGTGACTTTTATTATATTTGCATTTTACAGTGCTACTTTACATCTATTTTTTATAAGGTTTATACTTTAAATGTTCAATTTGTTGATACAAAAAAATATAGCCTATACCTGACCTCTCTGAAGAGAGAATTAAAATGTACACTAAATTTAATGAATCCTAGTTTCTGAACTGAGTGAACTGCCTGAATTAACAGTCAGAATCAATAACAAGGACACTGAATCACCTTTGATGTGGACAGTGTCCGTGTGTCATTGAGTTTATCTTACCGGTAACAATCTCACTGTCCAATACGTCCAAAGGCAATACAGCCAACCTTACAGAATTCGTTTTTCACATTCCATTATTGAGAAACTAAAGAAACTCATTTTTCACAGAGTCTAAACTGATGAGAGTATTGATCTCTCTTGTTTAATATTTGATAGTGTCCATAAAACTATAAATGCTACGACTGCAACGTAATGAATGCACAATGTGTACACTGATGGCTACTAAGGGAGTAGATCAATTAGTTTTTACCACACTGTCAGCTTGTTGAAGATTTACCAGTCTGATTAAAATCAAACCTTCACTAGCTCCTTTTTATCCTGTTTTTCATGCGACAAACAAAAATAAAAAGGAGCTAGTGAAGGTTTGATTTTAAATAGACTGAAGATTTACAATGAATTCACAAAACACACAGTACATGTATTCCTCTAAAATAAAATATGAACTTGAGATCTTCTTAATATACTCTCTCTGTTTGTTGCGTGATTATCTTTCATATTGCACTATAGTTAACAATTTTGGCATTTAATTTTCCACAACTGGTGTTCACCCTTTACATGTATGCATATACACCTAAAATGTATGACCATTTATAAAGGTAAACAGTCTAGTATTGACAGAAAAGATTTATTTATTGGCAGGAAATAAGTTTTGTTCTGTATGGATGAATTTATCATTGAATATGGATTTACCATACAAAATCTCCTTTTGCAAAAAAAAAAAAAAAAAAATAATAATAAGTCAGACATGGATCGCTCCTTCTATTTTTCTGCTTTGTATTTATATATCATAAGCACTAAGTGCCTGTTGTCATACAAGTCAGTTAATGTAACAAAACAGGAAAAGTATGATGTCTACTTCCTTCCAATTGCTCATCATTTACTAATTCTACATAAGAAAGTATTTTATTTTTCATTTTCCTGAATAAATTTTCTGTCTGAAGTATTTTACTCCTAAGCTGATCGAAAAATACATAACTATTACTATCTCAATCATTAGCAGTATAAAATAATTTCACACAGAATTATGAAATTTGTGTTCCAGTGACCTTGAAATTACTGTGATTTGGGTCAAGGTCAAATACCCTTGGATCATGGGCAATCTTTGTGTGAACACAGCATATTAGTTTCATAAAATTGCCATAAATGTTTGAACTTTTTCTTCCAGTGACCTTTAACTTCCCCCAAATGACCTTGGGTCAAGGTCATGACAAACCCTTGGGTCATGGGCAATCCTTGTGTAGAATGAGAACCTACCAAGTTTATCCATAAACAAGAGGCCCATGGGCCACATCGCTCACCTGAGAAGCTTTGACCATTCTGTTCTTTACCAGATTTCCTCCTTGTAAAATATTTTACTGATCATAATTTAGACATTTTGTATTCTTTTCCACATAAGTTTCATATGCCCAGTGGATTAAGCTTTTAAAGACTATATATTTTTGTAAAATTATTTATTTTCGGGGGTCATGATTTGAACAATATAAAAACTACCCAGGATGCAATAAAGATTTCAGTTTTTCTGGCCCAGTGGCTTGAGCAGAAGTCAAAGATTTTTCATTACCTATGTGTGTTTTGAATTATTTATTGGTGTACAGTAAAACAAGTTTGCCCCGTTTTAAATTCGCCCAAAAAGATTTTTGTTTAAGATATCTCCAGTTTAGAATTCGCCCCGTTTTAATACTGCACAGAATATTAGTTAGAAAATTTCCCTGTATACAGTATATTTCTATGTAAAACTTTGATTCCCCATTGTAGCCCCACCCTTCCCCCAGAGGTCATGATTTGAACAATTTAAAATCTACATTACCCTAAGATGCTTCCACATAAGTTTCAGCTTTTCTGGCCAAGTGGTTCTTGAGAAGAAGATTTTCAGATTTTTCCTATATATTTCTATGTAAAACTTTGATTACCCATTGTGGCCCCGCCCTTCCCCAGGGGGTCATGATTTGAATAATTTAGAATCTACACTACCCCAGAATGCTTCCACATAAGTTTCAGCTTTTCTGGCCCAGTAGTTCTTGAGAAGAAGATTTTCAAAGACTTTTCCTTTCTATTTCTATGTAAAACTTTGATTCCCCATTGTGGCCCCGCCCTTCCCCCGGGGGTCATGATTTGAACAATTTAGAATCTACACTACCCCAGGATGCTTCCTCATAAGTTTCAGCTTTTCTGGCCCAGTGGTTCTTGAGAAGATTTTCAAAGATTTTTCCTATATAATTCCATGTAAAACTTTGATTCCCCGTTGTGGCCCCGCCCTTCACCTGGGGGTCATGATTTGAACAATTTAGAATCTACACTATACCAGGATGCTTCCAAGTTTCAGCTTTTCTGGCCCTTTTGAGAAGAAACAATGACCCCACCCTATTTTTGTCTTTTTTGATTATCTCCCCTTGTGAGGGAATTGACCCTTTATTTTAACAATTTAAATTCCCCTTCACCCAAGGATGCTTTGATAAGTTTGGTCAAAATTGGCCCAGTGGTTCTTGAGAGAGAAGTCGAAAATGTGAAAAGTTTACAGAGGGGACAGAGTACACACTCTTCACTATAATTGAGAAAATGTTTTTATATATAATGACAATACATGGTTTTTACTCTTTCTTCCAGTGATTGTTAAATTTTTCAAGGTCATGACACAGATCAAGGGCAATCTTTGTGTGAAAACAAATTTATCCATGATGTAGACGGACACAAATTTGAAAATTTTCTTCCAGTGACCTTGAACTTCCCCAAATCACCTTGGGTCATGGTCATGACATACCCTAGGGTTTGAACAAATTTTGCCAAAAAGTACCAAGTTTAAATAAGTATATGGACCGGACAAATTATGAACTTTTTTACATGACCTTGAAATCCTAAGTGACCCATCATACAATCTTTGCATGAAATTGAACCTACCAAGTTTATCCATAAAAAGTGATACCGGAACGAATTATGAAATTTTTACAAATGACCTTGAATCTGAATGACCTTTCAAGGTCATGACACACCCTTGGGTCACCAACCAAATTTTTTTATTTTAATATTTATTTGTTTATCAAATGAGAGTAAACGGATTTTCATTGGATAAAAATTATTAAAGCTAAGGCACGTAACTCAATACAAACCATGGTAAAGTAAAACAATACTTGCCAAACAAAGGTGAATAGAGAATAACTGCAGATACCCTTAGCTAAAAAAGATGTTATCATGGGCAATCCTTGTGTAAACAGAGAACCTACCAAGTTTATCCATAAGTTGTATATGGTGAAGCCAATCTTTTTCTTCCAGTGAATATACTTCCCCAAATGACCTTGGGTCAAGGTCATGACACACCCTTAGGTCATGGGCAATCTTTGTGTGGTGTAGGATTTTGGAACACGTTTGAGAGTGGACAGCTAGACAGCCGGACAAGTGTGACCTATATGCAAACTTCGTTTGCGGGGGGTATAAAAATACATACCTATATATAACTATCTCAATCATTAGCAGTATAAAATAATTTCAAGAACTTAGTACTTGTGTTGTCTCTTTTATTATTGTGATTTAGGGTAGGCAAATACTCTAGGCTTCGATCAACACAGCAAATTAGTCATAAAATTGCCATAAATGTTTGATCTAGAAAGACTAATAGTTACTCCAGTATTCCCAGGGCCATTGTCGTGATTCTAGAAAGGTTGGGGGTGTGGTGTGGTGGGGGTTAAAGAAGGTCTGGGAGAGGTTTCCTGTCTTCTGAGATAAAATATTTTAAATAATTTAAGTATTCTTTTGAATAAGTTGTCATATGCTATGATTAAGCTCTAGTAAAATGTTTTTTTTAATTATTTATTTTCTCAACAAAAAGATATAAAAAATCCCAAGATGCAATAAAGATATCCTTGCTTATTGGCAGCCAAGCTGAAGTCCTGGGCTAATCATTACCTATGTGTGTTTTGAATTATTTATTGGTGTACTAGTAATATATTTCTTGTCTACTGCTACCATGTACCAACTCTCCATATAATTGGTGCAATAATGACAATGGTAAACAAAAACTTGTCGGATATTGGCATGAAAATGATGTACCAATGTTACAATAGAGAGGAAACATAATTATTCAAGATTGCGAGATTTCTTTGTCTTCTAAGTTATTGGCACATACCAGAATCGCAAGAAAATCATAGCAGACTCATAGGAGAGAGCACACTTCTTTAGTTGCAATATCTATGAGTTAAATATAATCCATTTAATTGATCATGTCTAAATCGTACTTTAAAAACGTGAATTTAAGTGTTTGATATGATTTTTATGTGATTTTGGCATATAAAGGCTTGTGGGTTAACCCTTTAATATCATTGTGAACCGTGGGTTGTAGGTTCGATCCAGCTTGTTGCCATGTCGATAACCCCTGTGACTAATCATACCAACACTAACCACACTCTAGACTGTCTGCAGAAAAATATACCATTGGCAAAAAACATTGGTACCAGTGGCATGCCAATGGTAATTAATTTTACCAAAGGCAACTTTTGTCTACCAACGACAGAACTGTGAACGTCATGTACATAAACCAAAAACATTTATTAAATCTCAAAGAACTGCATAATACTGCACAGAATATTTATAGTTAGAAAATAATATAAATACAACTTTAAATATGTGCTCAACATGTCAA